AGAGTGGAGTAGTCACTAGAGGTTGGGAGGGCGGGGGAGACAGAGGTCAGATACTGGAACCAAAACAGAGGGAATAGGACTGACTAGCCTAGTGTTCTCGGCATCTCGGGGTCCCTGTGGTGTACACCAAATTATTACATATTCGTCATACTGTAAGCGTCTGAAGGGTCCCAGTGCTGAAATGATAAATGCTTGAGGCAATTATGTGGATTTAACTACACTGTTTACATGTATCCGATAGTACCGTAACCCATAAATATGTATAATAATGATCAGGTTTGAGGGGAACACTTAAAAGAATAAAAAAGAAGGAAAGGAAAAAGGAATCAGAAAACAGGCAAGGGATGAGTTTGGGCAGAGGAGATAAAGCTCCCCAGTGTCCTCACCCCTTACGTGATACTCATGGTTGCCAGAAACCTGTACGGTCCTCAGAGGGAACCCGTGTCCCGTGGGGCTCTGGTACGCCTGGCAGGGAGGACAGGCGAGAGCTGCCTGCCTGAGGCCCTTGGAAGACCGGGCCACCTCAGAGTCGTCTGAGTCCCTCATGTCTCCGCAGCGGCCAGGCAGACACAGAGCAAGGCCTCTGGCAGCTCTGTGCGTCAGTGAGAGCAGGTTGTCCTGTTGGGAAAAGTGCAGGCAGTGACTGTTCCAAAACGGAATCTCAGGTCAGGCCCAGAGCCTTTTTCCTATTTAGGAGGTGGCCCAGATGCTGGGATCTGTTTCCTTTTGGTGTATGTGCAGCTGTAACTAGCCTCCCCATAACCTGAGATCTGCTGGCCCTGACTTAGTGACGAATCGGCCTTGGAAATCGTTCCAAATCTTCCATTCCATTTTTAGCTGGAAAGTCCCTGTGGGGACTGCTGTCACATGGGGACCTGGGAAGCAGAGGGCCAGGTGGGTCTTGGCCAGCCAGCCTGACCCATCTTCTGCCTGTGATCAGGGATTTTTTTTGTGGGGGTGTTGTTGTTTCAGAAATAGGGTTTTGCTATCCTGCCCAAGCGGGTCTTGAACTCCTGGGCTAAAGCAGTCGTCCTGTTTCAGCCTCCTAAGTAGCTGGGATTTCAAGGTGTCGCACCCAAGCTCAGCGCGCCTGCTGTCCTCTGGTCCTCTCCTGGCCAGTTAGATGACGACAGAGTGATCCAGGGAGGGGCGTTCTGAAGTTGTCGCCGTGTTTGCCGCCATCCAGGCCTCCCCACTGTTGCTCCTCCTGCTGTCTGAGTCTGTCTTCACCGTCTGGGTAATCTGACAGATGCTCCCCTGCTCGGGACGGAGAATCAAGGGTGCTGATCTCACTGATGGACTTATTTTTTTAAATTACACTTCCCATGGTACTTTGAGGTCATAGGCTGGGAATGTTAAACACACTTTGGCAGTTGGAGAGTTCTGAGTACTTTCCATTTCTCTTCCGAATGCCACCTTCTCTTTGGAAAGACAACCTCTGTGGGGACCTAGCCTTTGGGGGGACATCCTGCCTAGGCGTTCCCTTGTCACCGAACACCTGGGGCGAGCCTGAGCTCCGCGCAGATGAGCTGGGTGGGCCTGGCAGTGTTGAACGGCAGAGATGACTGCGCTCCTCCCACCTTGCCCTTTACACACGCGCCAGCAGGACACTTCTTGACATTTGCCTGGCCCAAAAGGTCCTTTCTCTAGGGGCCTGATGTGTGAATGATGTGAATAGTTCTAAGTACTTCTGGTTTCTTTTTGGGTGGTTGTAGCCAAGCTCAGAATTAAATCAACATTTTCCCCTCCCCAGAGGCCAGGGCTTGGCTTGGACTGCCAAGTTCTGATGCCTGATGACCCATTATTAGTCTGCAGAGCTTGCAGAATCTCCAACAAAACAACCCTGGGAGGAGAGCAGAATGTCTGCAGCCCCGGCTGCCAGATTCTCTCCTCAGAGACCCTAAAGTTCTACATCCTTCACACAGAAAAGTAGAATGGGGAAGAGGTTACGGTAAAGCCTCCTGAGGGGAAGAGCAGGCTAGGACTCTATGGAAACACACCCTCCTTTTCCTCTCTCCGTGTCACAAGTGTAGGGACCGCGTGGCAGTCTCCTAAATTACTGCTTTCTTCCTCAGACTCAACTCTTGGCACTGTGACCTCGGGCAGCTTACTTAATGTCTGTGAACTTCAGTTACTTAATTTGCAAAATTGTAGTGCCAGCTGGGCTTGGTGGCGCATGCCTGTAATCCCAGCTGGGCTCCGGGCACCAAAAGGAGGCTCAGAAGGCTGAGGCAGGAGGATCCCCATGAGTTTGAGGCCATCCTGGGCTACACAGTGAATTCAAAGCCAGCCTGCACTACCTAGTGAGACCCTGTCTCCAAAAAGAAAAAAAAATGGTGATGCCTATCTTCAAATCAGGCTTCCTACACATTCCTTTAGGACAACTTCCTCGAATCCCTGGCGGGGGAAGTTGCACTTGCCCAGAACAGCCTGCAGCTCTTTAAGGGTAGCGATTGCGTCCTCTGCTGTGTGTTCTAAGGTTCTTGTAGAATTCCCAGCCAGCAGTGCACATCCCTCCCTACAAAGACTCCCCTTCTGATGTCTCTACCCGAGCCGTGTCTCTCGCTCCTCTTGGGTCTAACGCGGTGCGTGCTGGTTGTTTGTTTTCGTTGAGGTGACAGTTCTTATGTTGTTTTTCTTTCTCTATCCGAAAGAGATTCTGATTTCTATTTCCTGTTTATGGAGTTCCTGGAAAGCTTACGCTTAGGTAGCTATTTCACGTTGATTTCTCTTTCTAGCTAAACACAGTGGTCAAGAAACCCGTGGTGGGAAGGAAAGCGTCCAATGGTGGTGTAGTCAGGGAGGCCCCAGCTTCGGCCCTCCCTTGCATCTCGATGGGGGTCTGGCTGAGGAGAGGAGACGGACGGGGGAAGCTGCGGACCTGCCTGGCCCCTGTCTCTTTGCTGCTGTTACCTGCAGTTCACGTGCTTCCCAGCCTTCCACCCGCATCCAGCATCAGAGCTTAAGCTTTCGTGCCCTGAGCTCAGTGTTGAAGTCTGGATCAGATATCCAAAGTGATGCTCCCAAAGGTGTGACAGGTGTGTGTGTGTGTGTGTGTGTGTGTGTGTGTGTGCAGGGCACAAGTGAACCTGAGAATGTGTGTTCAGACCCCATCACAACACACTAACCTGGTGTTATAAAGGGTCGTGCCACTGGACCTCCTTTTTGCTAAAGATTCTCTAGTAAACTTGAAAGATGCGCTAAGACTTTGTCCTGTGTCTGTCTGTATTCACTCATTCATTCATTCATTGTCCTTTTGAGACAGGGTCTCGCTATGCAGTTCAGGCTGGCCTTGAGCTCACTTTGTAGCCCTGGTCTTGAACTCACAACGATCCTCCTGCCTCAGCCTCCCAAGTGCTAGAATTACAGGCGTGCGCCACCACCCCTGGTGCTGTATTCATTTTTTTTTAAAAAGTTTTTTTCTCATGCTGTTGCAAACTCTATACACAAGAGAAGTGCCAGCCTCCAGAACATTTTTATACAACTTTGTTTTGACACAAAAATGACTAAATCGATATCACCATTCCTTTCCTTTAGTCAAGCTTTGCTGATAGACCAAAACTGAGTTGGTGGGCCTGCGATATAGCTCAGCGGCATAAGTGCTTGCCTGGCAAGCCTGAGGTCATGAGTTTGATTACCGGTTCAAAAAAACAAACAAACAAACACAACTGAGTTGGTGTGAGCTTGCGTGCTGGACTCCAGTACCTCCAGGTAGTGGGAATGTCACAGGAACCTGCCCAGGCCGGACCACAAGACCATTCATGACCCACCCCAAGCTGAGTTTCTGCCTCTTCTCTACTACTTGGTGTCTCCCCTCGTGAAAGTCTAATAAAATCAAAACACAAGTGCTTGTCCCTGTCCCTTAGCTGATGCCGCCCTGCCCAGCTTTCTTTGTCAGGTGACCGTGGTTTGCATTCGGGAGTGGATGGACACCACACACCTGTGCCGGAAAAGACACAGATTGGTGGTGAAACTGTCACAGGCCATCAGCTGTGTAGTGTAGCTCAGCCACTGACCACTATCTGTGCGTTAGGCTTAAAACAGCAGAGGGAACTGACAGGCCAGGGGCCCCGGCTCGGCGTACACACGCTTTTGAAGTCGTGTGTATGATTATAATTCCGTTCTCTGCCCATGGTAGTCCTGGGCGGTGGGTATGTTCGCATTTGTAGACCAGGCCACAAGCTCTGAAGAGTTACACAGTTTTTCTAAGATCCTCAGCCAGTCACTGGTGGAGTCAGAGGTCCGACCTGAGGACTGTCTCATTCCTCGCCTGTGCGCTGTGCCATGGTACAGTAGGCGCAGCGTGGGATCTGGGCGGGCTTCCTCTGACCGAAGCCCGGACACTAAGGGGCATCAGAAGGGAATGCCCATGGTAACAAGGGAGGCAGCGTACCTGTTAAAAGAGACTCAAGAGTTGGACTCAAACCCAACATTTGTTTGTGTTTTTAGTCCATGGTGGTATGAAAAACACACAAAAGAATGATCGGGCAGTGCAGTAAGCGTGACGCAGGTGGAGACCGTCAGCAGTACTCAGACCCGGGATGAAAGGGAGCTGGAGCAGCACGCTCCCGGCACTTCCAGCATCACCCCACAGATGGCTGGTTATTTACAGAGGGGAAACGTGCCTTTGTGTGAGAGAGGTGCGTGGGCGCCACCTTACCCACACCTCACACCTGACCCCATTCCTCCTCCAACCACCATGTGGGGGAGGGGCCCAGCGTCACTGTTCGCTTCTGCAAAAAGTGCTTACCCAAGCCAGGCGTGGTGTTGCACGCCTGTAATCCCAGCACTGAGGAGGCTGAGGCAGGAGGATCGCCAGCCTGGGATATACAGTAAGTTCAAGGCCAGCCTAGACTACAAAGCAAGACCCTGTCTCAGAAAACCAAAGGACTTCCCAGAAGGGCTGCCATCCTCACGGAAGTGATGGCAGCTGCCTTGAATGCCTGGATGAGCTGCAGTGCCCCTGCCGTCAGCTCTCGCCCTCTCTGCTCGCCTTGCAGGTTCCAGCGTGAATGGCCTGGAGGAGCCCAGCATCGCCAAGAGGCTGCGGGGCACCCCGGAGCGGATCGAGCTGGAGAACTACCGGCGCTCCGTGAAGCGGGCGGAGGAGCTGGAGGAGGTGCCCGAGGAGACGCAGGCCGAGCACAACCTGAGCAGCGTGCTGGACAAGGGCACCGAGGAGGACGTGGCCAGCAGGTCAGCCTGTGCCGTAGCTACCAGCCGCTGCTTCTCCGGGGCTGTGGCCTCGCCAGAGCCCCCACTAATATACTAGAGGAGTGTGTTAAGTGTGGCGTCTGAGGGTCCGAGGGGGATGTAGCTCCGTGTCACAAAGATTGCCTGGGAAGCACAAGGTCCTGAGTTCGATTTCCGGTACCAAAAAAAAATATGGCATCTGAGCCAGGCTGTCTTGGTCAAACCTGACTCTTCCGTTTTCCACCTGTGGGACCGACCCTCGGCAAGTTATGTGATACTGTCTGTAAAGTGAGGCCAACACTGGTGCCTTCTTTACAGAACGGGGTGCAGGTGAAGGGGGCGGATAGGTAGAAAATATGTAAAACAGTACTTCGCGCAGGTAAGCACTTGTGGGTTTTTTTGTTGTTTTGGGTTTTTTTCCCCTCAGTGGTGGGGATTGAACCCAGGGCTACCGGTTGAGCTATGTCCACTGCCCCTTTTTAATCTATTATTTTTTATTTTTGAGATAGAATCCCTGAGTTGCCCAGGCTGGGCTTGAACTTGGGATGCTCCTGCCTCAGCCTCCTGGGGTACTAGGATTACAAACTTACACCGCCACACCCAGCTTAGCTGTGAGTTATTTTGTGTGGTGCTGTCTGCACTGGTTGTCCTCACAGGAATCAAGAGCATGTATTTTGTTGGGTAAGAAAATGCGTAGCAACTGAGATTCCAGCTCAGGGTTTCTGGGTTCAAACTCAGGATCTTTGCTGTTTTCCTGGTGCCGCTGATCCATCCCTCCCATTCTGTCTTATGTCTAAATCAGCACCAGCGGTTCATATTATTAGTAACACATCTCTATGCAGATCCATGCGTAACGAGATACTGCTCATTCAGTAGGGCAGGGCCAGTAAAAGTCACATCACAAAATTGGTTGAACGCATATACCATGTCTTTAGTTTGTTAATCATTGAGAAAGTAACAGAAAAGACCCAAGTCCCATTGTTTACAAATTCATTGACAGGAAGAGATTGTCGCACAGGCAGAAAAGCAGACCTAAAGCACAGTGCTGCCGAGGGCCAGGTGGTGTCGCAGGAGAAGCCCTGGGTTTAGATTGAGGTAACTCGCCACGAGCTCACTGTGCAGTCTTGGGGAAGCCAAGTAAAGATGGCGTCTTGGTTACTTTTCCCTCGTTGCTGAGACAAAATACCCAGTGCCCAAAATTAAGGAAGGAAAGGTTTATTTAGCTCACAGTTTGTGGGGGTTTCAGTCCATACTCAGCTGGCTCCAAGGCAGGGTGGCAGGGCACAGGGGCAACACTTTAAGGCGTCACAAGACAGCAAAAGAAGCAAGAGCAAAAAGGGGGGAAGTAAGTCTCTTTTCCTCCCTTATATTGTTTTTTTGGTTTTTTGGTGGGTTTTTTGTTGTTTTTTTTTTTTGAGACAGGATCTCGCTATGCAGTTCAGGCTGGCCTTGAGCTTACTTTGTACCCCAGGCTGGTATCAAACTGGCAAAGATCCTCCTGCCTCAGCCTCCTGCGTGCTGGGAGTACAGATGTGCGCCACTATTATATGCCAGCTATCAGCCCATGCTGAGGCCCTCTCCATGCCCTCCTCTTCGACAAGCTGAGGATGTTTACAAAGGGCAGACCTTGGCCCCCTGCTGTGTCATGTAGTTGAACTTTTAAACTTCTCAAGTTGACACAGTGTATCAGCTGTAACAGATGGGCAGAAATCCGGGGTGTCCTTGGGCCCCAGCAAGTGGTTTTACACTTAGCCAGTTCCAGCATTCAGTTCTGTTTAACTGGGTGATACCTTTGGGGGCGGCACACATTCTGACCCCTACAGGAGTCCAGCATCTGTTGTTTTTTCCTCAGAGTGACCAGGGTCAGTAGAGATGGGTGTTGTGGGGCAGAGCTTAACAAAAGAAAGGGACCGTCCTTTGGTTCGTGAGTTTATTATTGGGTGTTCACGCCGTGTGCGTGAGATGTGCCTCCCTTACACCTTGTCGTGGTGTCAGCACCTTACCTTCCTGATGTAAGAAGAAGAAAAGAAAGAAAAAGGACAAAATCACTGTGGCCAAACCGTCCTGCAGATTCTCAGGCTGGAGCGCTAGCTGTACCCTGACGCATGGAAGCTTCCGGTAATCATTGGGAGTGTCCGCCTCCCACACCAGGCACTTCCGCAGACTCGTGACAGAGGGTTGTGTGGGGGTGAAGAAAGGGGCACATTTTATTTTAAGGCCCTGAGAATGTTTCTCAGGGGGTGTTTGCTGGGCAGAGTTGCTGCTAGCCGCGTCCCTCCTCCTGCCCTGGTGCAAACGCTCCCCAGATGAACCCTTCTGGGCCGGCCCCGCAGACATCTCCACCGTGCCTTCCGAGGCAGCTCCCCTTGGTATATGCAGTTCTAAAGCCTCAGTGATTGCAGGTCACCATCACATAACCCAGCATCACACGCAGAGCACCCACGAGAGGCGCCCACCACCTACTCTCAGATGGAAGTGGGGTGCACGCAGTGGTGGGAGGGGAGCCCCCCGTCCAGGCGTGCTGATAAACCCTACAGCAGAACGGAGGGTGCGTCTGAGTTAAACAGGAAACCAGGGCTGGGCCTGTGGCTCAGTGGTAGAGCTCTTGCCTCGCGTGCACAAAGCCCTGGGTTTGATCCCCAGCACCCCCAAAAAAGCAAAGTTTAAAAGGGTCTTTTTAGAAAAAGGCAATACTAAGAGCAACAACAGACTTGCATCAGGTGCTGTCCAGGGTGAGAAACAGCCTCTCGGAAGTAAGGAAGGAGTTTCAGGCTCGGCCGTGACTTCCTCAGGAAACGGGCCGAGCGTGGGTTCCCCCTTCCCTGCAGCACGAGGTGGGAAGCAGGTGCCGCTTCCAGACCTCAGCGCTCCAGGAAGAGACTCGAGACTAGAAGTTGAGAAACAGCCTGGTTTTCAGGACTCACTCACCCCAGCCCAGGAACTCCCGCGCCGTGGTTTGAGAGAGCTCGCCGCAGCCACCTGCTGCGGAAGGCAGCGGGGTGATGTTTCAGCATGCGGCTGAAAACCCAGCTGTACTACCCACTGCAGGGAGCCAAGAACCTAACTGCCCTGTGCCCCAGTTTCTTCACCTGCAAACGGCACTGCCCTTCGTAGCTTTATTGTGAGGATTCAATCAAGCAAAGCAGCAGACGCCATCGGCGCACGGTAGTCCCTAAGAGAATGGTAGCGGTTGCAGTTGTGTCCTGTGGGTACACGCAGAGTGCAGGGGCAGGCCGGGGATTTCACGCGGGTTCCCTTCAGTGGTGGGATAAATGGCAGGAACCGGGTTTGGCCCAAACTCACCATCCGCTGCTGCCTTGGTGACCAGACCTTCCGAATCTCCAGCCACCCAGCAGTCCTGCTGCAGGGCAGCTGCTGGCCTGAGACGCTCAGTCCCACGCGGTGGGGTAAAGCCCAGGAATTTTCATTTTAAACAGTTCCCAGGTGCTGCTCTAAAGTTTCCAAGTTTCCCTGGCCGCAAACCCCAGCTGGGACACTTAGTGAGAAGCTAATTCCTCGTCCCTCCATGGAGGTGTGGACAGAGAGGCCAGGAAAGCCTGCTTTTACAGACGCCGTGGGCGGGTGTCCGTCCAGGTCCGTGACGTAGTTCCCACCTGTTGTGAGTCCTCAGCCACATCGCCGCCTCTCGGCCTGGGCCTGGGCAGCTGCCTGACCCTCCTCCCGGGCAAGCGCGAGCCTGTCTGCCGGAAGAGCCAGGCAGCAGCATTTGTGTTTCCTAGGGCAGGACCAAGCTGGCCAGAGACAGGGGAGGACCAGCTCCGGGATCTCAGCGTGGTTTTTCACTGACTGCCTGGCGGGAGGAATTTGCTGAGGCAGGGAGGGCAGCCAGCTGCTGGCCTTTGCAGTGTTTACAGATCTGCGGCCCTGAAGAACCATGAGTGGGCACCGGAGCAAGGGGTATGTGTCCAGAGAGCGCAGCCTGGCCCCGTGGTGGCCAACCCTCGGTCAGAGTAACCCCACAAGGAAAAGTCAGTCCGGAGGGCTGCGCGCGAGTCAGCAGGAACTCCGGCCCGGCCCTCTCTCCGCCCCCACAGAGGCGGCAGCAGGGGCCGCAGGTGACAGGATGTTGGGTTGAGCGCACATTAATTTCCACTGTGTGCAGACTGCCGGGGCTGTGCATTTCCGCCCTGCTCAGCAGTAGCGTCCACGGGGTTGTCGGGGCAGGTGGGGCGAGGGGCAGGGACAGGCGGGAAAGCAGATTGCAGGCTCTGGTTAGAAAAGAGGAAAGCGTGGGTCTCATTTTCTTCTGGAAGTCACCGCGGAGCTTGGGGGTACCCCGTGCAGAGCCTGCCTCCGTTCCTGCTGGCACCTTCTGGGGGGCCATCCTGGACCCAGAGCACAACACGCTTCCTGGGCTTGCTGCCCTGCGTGCCAGCACCCAACCACTCTTAGGTTCTTGGGAAATCACCAAACGGCACAGAGTGGTTGGCTGTGTGTGGCTGTCGCTGGGGCTGTCACCCCTCCTCACGGCCGCGGCCCAGCCCCCTGAGGCGACAGCCTTCTCGTTTGTAAAAATGGGAAAAATACTCTCCCCTATCTGCAGAAGTGTTTCAGATTCCAGAGTTTTTCAGCGTTTGAAATAACTCCATAAGCCTCACAGTTGATTAATCCTGAATCCAAAACTCTGAAATCTGAAATGCGCCAAAGACCGGATGTTTCTGAGAATCGTGCTGGTGCTCAGAAACTTGTAGGCCTTCGAATTTCCAGTTAGGGATGTTCAGCCTGTAAGGGTAACTGCGCCCTGGAGTGTCGCTAAGTGAGCCAATGCAAAGGAAGTGCTGTGCCAGGAAAAAAAGAAAAAAGAACGAAAAACAGAGAAAAGAGTTAACAGAGGAAGCGCCGCATGCAGCAGAGTCCCTCCTTGGGGTCCGCGGGCCCCCTGGGACTGTGGCCCTGGGTGTTCCTGCCCACTTGAGAAGAACCTTGTCCCCGTGGGGTCCTCGTCCGTGAGCTTGGTGTCGCCTCCTCCTGCCAGGGCCCAGTGAGGCGATGCTAAGGGAAACATAAGGAAGGCGCCTTGAGGTGCACAGCTGGTTATGAACTGTAGCAGGGAGGGTTTGCTGTTACCCAGTCTTCCAGGGGGAGTAGTTAGCTCCTTCTGACAGGCTCTGTCTGGCAGAGCGTCTCTGGTGGTGTCCTCTCCAACACCTCCGAGATCAAGGCGGGCCCGCCCTGGCCCTCGCTGCGGCCCCTGGAACACTCGACCCGCCTCAGCTGCACCCGCACAATGTAAAGGCCGGAGAGAGAGAGAGCGGCCCAGCGCCTTCCCTGAGGCAGCGCAGACCAGATCATCTCACAGCATGCCGTGTGTTCCAGGGCAAAAGCAGATGCCTGCTTGGAGAGGAAGGTAACCTGAGGGCTGGCTTTTCTGGCGCTCATCTCTCCCGCAAGACTACATACTGAGAAGATACTGTCTCTTCCCGTAAAGCGGGAAAAATTTGCTTTTTTTTTTTTTTTTTTTTTTTGTGGTTCAGTAATTGGCTCTGCCTAGCAAGTGTCCAGGCTGTAGTCCAAGGGAGGCTGCCTCACCAGGACTCCTCCCTCCACTGCACCCAGAGCTTCAGGGTCTGCGGGCAGCCAGGGAATGTTGGATGAACCTTGCAGTGCTAGCTTTATACAGTGAATCTTGCATGACATAGGCAGCCTGGCCAGCCCTAGAAACTGCCCCAAGGTCTGGGGATTTAGCTCAGCGGCAAAAGCGCCTGCCTGGCAAGCGCAAGGTCGTGAGTTTGGTTCCTGGTACCGGAGAAAAACCAAAAAAGAAAAAAAAAAACAACAAAAAAAGAAACTGCCCCAAGTCCTATGAAAATGACATCCTAGCAGGACGTGGTGGCGCATGCTTGTAATCCCAGCACTTGCAAGGCTGAGGCAGGATTGCGGCAAGTTCAAGGCCAGCCTGGACTGCAAAGTGAGTTCAAGGGCAGCCTGAATGACATAATGAAACCCTGTCTCAAAAAGACGAAAAGATAAAGGGAAGGGCCAGTTACGGCGCCTTCTGGGTCTCCTTGTTCTGCACCGGAGTGGCAGGCTGCTGGCCTGTGTCCTCTGCAGGAGCAAGTCTCAGTCTCTCGGAAGTGGGCTGCGCTGGGAGCTTACGAAGGGAGGCGAGAGTGGAGCCTGAGTGTTCTGCATGCCTCACTTCTGTGGTCCCAGGCCCTTGAGCTGTCGTAAAAGTAACGGAGCGGCACGAGCAGCCGTCAGCGTGCCTCGCTGTCTTCGTGACGAGGGGTGCATTCGTTACCACGTCGTGCGCAGTGCAGCGGTCCGCGTGACATGGCACAGGCGCGGACGCATCTGTGCGGCCTCTCCCAGGAAGCTGCGGCCAGTCCCTCCCAGCCTGCTGACCGTGGGGGCCTTGAACAGGCGGAGGGGCACACTCCGCCACAGAACAGGCAAGGGCCACCCTCCCTCTGCCCACTGCAGGCTTACAATGAGCAGCGAGCCCTCCTTACCCGTGTTTCATATTTGAGCAGCATTAAGTGACATGAACTGGGCTACAGTCATTCATGAGAAAATGAACTGGTGCAAACACAACGGCAGAGCAAACGGAGTGCGGCAAAGGAGTACTGAACACCCAGCTCCCCGGCTTTCCAGGGTCCGAATCCTTAGGTTCCCCATTTAAACTGCCTCCTCCCAGCCCTCTGCCCCACCGTACTTCCACTCCGCCTTGCTTCCTCGTATCTCCCTCTGGGAATGGGGATCTTTCCTAGATCATCGTTGTGTTCTGTGTGATGTTTAGTAAGTGTACTATGGGTACAAGACACTCAGTCTCTCTTGGGTGAATGAATGAATGAATGAATGAATGAATGAATGAATGAATGAATGAAGTGCGTGAGATTAGCTGAACTAAGCTGGGAAGGAGCCAGCTCTTTGTGTCTCTTATGTCCACCGGCTTAGCCTTAGTGGGTGCTCAGAAATGTTTACTGAATGAATGAACGAATGGCTGTGTAGTGAGTCAGCAACAGTGAAGAGGTGGAGCCCCAGCGTACAGCAGGTCCGATGGGAGTAAGTGGTCCCTAACCTCCACAGCGCTCCTGTGAGGCAGGTATGACATGAGCTCCTGACCCGGAGCACCGGGAACCAACCGGAGGTCTCGTCACCAGAAAGCAGAGCCGTGTGGCACTGGGAGGGGCAGACAGCGTGGCTCTGGGAGGACACACCAGGGAGCGAAGCACCCACGGCAGAGTCTGGAAACTACCCACTTGGAGCCTCCGCTGTGCTGCTTCATTCGGCGCAGTCAGACCACTCTGCTCTCTTGTCATTGATGTGCGGCGGTACACACCGATTATCACTCACACCAGCCGGGGTGTCTTGAGGTTTTTATTAGGACTCTGCTAGATAGGCGCTGAACTGGCTGATGGACCGTCCCGCGGTTGATCTCAGTCTCCAGGTCAGCCGGTACTGAGTGACCCAAAACCTGTACCCTAAATCATGTCCTTGATCTTTCTGATTTGCCAGCTTCCATATAAAACTACACGCGTTAGCGAGTCCTCACGTTGGGTCCCATTATTACACGCTCCACCCCAGACCCCAGGCAGACAAAGATCCTCTCTACCCGTATAGTCTCGGGAGAACATCCCAGGGGGTTAGAATGTATCTCCCTGAAGTCAAGGATCAGGACAAGGCCAGCCTCTCTCTGAGCAAGGCTAGATTCTCCCTGGCACAGCACCATAGCACTCAGAGTGGACATAGCGTCTGTCGCCGTGTGTGCACTGGCTTGCGTGTTCCCACCCCCAGGTGCGCGGGGGACAGCCTGCCCTGGGTAGGGAGGACCCCACCTTCAAGGAAGTTGGGACTGGGCCAGGCACTCCGTCGTGCAGGGCTGGGTCCCACGCTTTGCTGTGAAAGCCACAGCTTTTCCAGCCCGGTGAAGTGTGCACTTCTCACAGAGGGCAGAGCCTCCTGCAAGAGATGCTTTGGGAATTACAAGACCACTGAACATCTGCAGGGGAGCCCACGGCACTGGAGGGGATGGGATTTTATTCACATCCTGTCTTCTTCCCTCCGCAGGGCCAGGAAGAGCGGGTAGAAGGTAGGGGTCGGATTCTGGCTTCTCAAAATTCTGGCGTGCAGCGCAGCCTTGTGCCGGGCCGTGGGCTGCGAGGGCACAGGTGTGCAGAGTGTAGCTGCCCGTCGGGTGTGGTAACCGTGTGCGGAGGGCCTTTCCCAGTGGCCTCTGCCGTGGCTCTGCAGTGGGCCGGGCCTCGTCCGCCTCTTGTCTGTGTGTGGTCTGTGTGTGCAGCTCAGGGACTGGCACGTAGTGGAGTCCCAGGAGCCCGTGGAATCTTCTGTCAGCTGCTTCCTCCAGCCCCGGCCTGGAGCGCTGGTTGCTCTTGCAGCTCCGGCAGTGCCTTGCAGCTCCGTCCATTCCTACCAGGCCCATGCTTCTCCTGAGAAGCTACTGAGCGACCCGAGTAGAGTAGAATTGATATCTTCAAAGGGGTCAGGGCGAAGGAGGATTTTCTCTCCATTCTCGGTGCCTAGGGTTATGGGTTTATAGCAGAACCAGTCCGTCACCCCTTCTGGGCCTCTGTGAACCCTGACTCCACGGTCGGGTGTTCTCTGGGCCGTTGGCCTACGTGGGCTCACGTAGATGCTCACTCAGGGTGTATGTCATCCTGCTGCCGTCACCCCTCTCCTCCTGCGCAGGGAGGGACACGCTCAGCAGGGGCTTCGCTGAGACGGCCTTGGAACCGTCCCCTGCGCAGCGTATTGCCCTCCCCTCACTCGACCGTTGTGATTGCTCTTGACAGCAGTTCCGAGTCGGAGATGGAGGAGGAGGAGGAAGAGGAGGAGGAGGACCAGCTGCCCCCCTCTGACCTGGGCGGAGTTCCTTGGAAGGAGGCTGTGCGGATCCACGCCCTCCTGAAAGGAAGGAGCGAAGAGGAGCTGGAGGCCTCCAAGGACTTCGAGCCTGGGGAGGAAGAAGAGGAAGAATATGAAGAGGAGGAGGAGGAAGAATACGAGGAGGAGGAGGAGGAGGAGGAAGCATCTAGTGAAGGTCAGAAAAAAGTCTTTCCTGCCAGCCCTGCCCGTTCTGCGTGTGCATGCTGGAGGCCGTGGGCTCAGAGGCACGCAGAGCCTCCTGCAGAGCCCCGGGCGCAGGGTGGACCGTGGCAGTGGGAGTAAGTCCTTTATTCACGTTGGCATTTTTCATTAGAAGTCAGGGACCAGTCCAAAGACTTGGTTCAAATTAGGTTATTCATTCCTGACTTTTCCTTTTCTCGTTTTACCCTTTCGTTTCAATTAGAGAAATTAATTAGAAAGAAGCAAGGAAATCGAGCTTTCAGGAGGAGACCCTGCTTCCTAGTCTTGGCTGGTGGAGGCTGCTTAGCTGCCCACTGGACGGGGTCCCCTTGACGACCCTCAGAGTCGCGTTCGGGGCCGGAAGTCCTAGGAGGAACCTAGGTTGGGTAGTCAGTCACCGTAGTTCTTCTGAAAGACTCTTGCCTGGGAGGTTTTGATTCTGTACCTCTCTCTGGGTCTGTGACCTCCGGGGACAAGGAAGCCAGTTTCTAGGCCGCTCTGCCTGCCTGTGTCGAGAAGGACGACCGTTCTTCCCTGTCCTGGCCACAGGGGCCCCATGGGAGGTGAGGGAGGGACCGAGGCAGGCGGAGCCCAGACTCCGCAGACAAGGACCCTGCCCCGTCTCTGGAGGGCATGGAGCCGGGAGCAAGGACACAGGCCTTCGTGCTCCTGAGCCTCACTTCCCCCTCGTTTGGGACAGAGGAGCAGATTAATAGTGGGCCACACGGCAGACCTGGCCCACAGTTGCCCTGCTGCCCGTGGGCTTATGTTTGCATTTCCTGGAATTCCCCGTGCTCGCTGCCCAGGCCGATCCCAGGGGCTGTCTCCTCTGGCACCACAAGGCCCATACCTTCCCAGACTTGAGGCTCGTGTTCCTGAGCCGCTCCCTGGAGAGCTGTGCGGCTCCAAGACCCTGGTCCTCATGAGGCAAGGTGGATGGAAAGAAAGCACCCCCAACCCTGACCCGGGCCCTGGGCGTTGGTCTGAGTGTCAGGGTCATAGCACATCCTCAGAAGCTTCTAGAAAGCTCCCTTGCAGCGCCCCTCTCCCCTCCAAAGGTGATGTGGTGGCTTGTGTTCCCTCCAGTCAGGAGACACCAGTAAGGTCTGTGTAAGGAGCCCCAGGCCCTGGCTGGAACCCGAGTTCCCTCTGCTCAGCGGCTTCTACAGAGGCTCAGCGCTGCCTCCACGTCCCTGAGATCAGAGACTCGAGCCTGTGCGTGACTCAAGCAGGGGAAGGTATTTTGTTCATGTTACCCCGGAAGTCATTATCTCCACATGACCCTTAATGCTCAGCGGCTTTTACCCTGACATAGCTGCGGGTCAAAGCCTGCTCATTCCCTCTTTAGGAGAGTTCCGCCCGCTTCCTGGTCTCGGACCTAAGGTCAGGACCAAAGCTATAAGGAACAGCGCTTGAACCAGAAGAGCAGGAGCAACACATTCAGCGCAGCTCTGAGCATTCCCAGTGGGACCCGGTGTCCCCAGCTTGGAGTGTGTGTTGTCTTCTGGGCTGCAGACTTTGACGCTGTGTGGCCAGAGCAGACGCTGCTGCGAGCAGACGCCGCTGCCTTGCAGCTGAACATCACTCTGCCCTCTTGTCTCTCCTCCCTCCACCCTTTTCTCTCCATTTCTCCCCCTGCGGGATTCTCGATGCTGTTTGTGGGTGTCTGGCTCCCCCTGCTGTAGAAGGGGAGTATTGCCCCTGGGACAGAGAACTGCAAAGCCAGTGGCGCCAGCATCTCTCAAAGGAAGAAGAAACGGGTACACGTAAAGGTGCCCACTTTGCCCCCTGCCTACCTTTGCCCTAGCTCCTTAGCAACCATGCAAAATATGCCTCCAAGAGCAGGTCCCATGTGAAAAGACCTGTGCTGTAGAGATGCCTCCTAGGCTTTGCGCATACCTAGCTGGGCGCCTCCCCGGGGCCCAGCCTTCCCAGGCAAAGTGCAGAGGAGCCTGTGGGTGAGCAGAGATTCAGGAGGCAGCCACGGAAGACTCCGGGAGAGTGCACGGAACATGGCCTCCTCTCCACCCCTCTAGCTTTTGCTACAAGTTCTTATCAGTTAAGAGTCAGCTTCTGTAACGCAGAAGGCCCCACAGCATGGCCACAGCTCCCCGTCCCCGTCACAGGTGCCTTTAGCATTTCCCCGAGAAAGGAAGATAAGCCGGCTTCATGCCATTGATAAGTCTCCAAGGCCGCTGTGTTAACAGGAAGCAGAACATTGCACTGGGGGAGGCTCGCTCTTTCCTTGTTGCTTAGAAGGCAGAGAAAGGCCTTGCCCTTTTCTCTTTGACTTACCTTCCGCCTTCCTAAGATGCCACCGGGGACCTTGCTGTGATTCACGGGCTCCCAGCATAAAGACAAGTAGGTCCTCCTCGGAAACAGTGCACAACTCTGTAAAGCCTTGCAGTAGGGAACCCATGAGCGGTCAGCGCCTTCTCATGACAGGGAGCACTTGGCGTCCACAGCGAGGCTCTCGCGGACACTCACCACCCATGTCGCTTCCCCTCGCTCCAGGCTAAGAGGTCGTCGTAGTGATGGGTGCTATGAAGCCAGGCTGCCCAGTCAGGTCGCTAAGGGAGAGAGAACATACACCCCCAGAGGGAGGCGGCTCCTGGCAGGAAGCCCGGAACCTCTCGGATCCGGTGGCACCTGCTCTCGCTGTCTAAGCAGCCACCCTCCTGCCCACAGAGGGTCCGCTCCCCCGAGGCACTGGCTGCCCCCTTCATCTTAACCCAACCGTGTGGCATGATCCAAGCACTAGTGACAGGGGGCCCACAGGGCCAGGACCGCACGCCAATCCCCGGGCTCGTCCTGAAGAGCCACAGCGGTGTGTCCCCCGCGGTGATATGCGTTGCTAGTACCAGCTGCATCCCTGGGACCCTGCGGGTGGCCCCTCAGAGGCCAGCTGTAATCTGCTCTTGGCATTTGGGTCCCCCAGGTGCACCTTAGGATGAAAAGAGCAGCAGAATCCGCATTTGGAGGTGGACTGCAATTCTTTTTATTGAAGTGAATAGTATATATGAAGCTTAAAATGACGAAATCAGACTGAGAAGTGTGTACGCGTGCATACCTGCACGTGTGTGTGTCAGCACACAAGCTCGGTTTTTGCCTCTTTCTGATTCATACTGCTCCTGGCAACGCTGTAACTTCTGTTTCCTTTCCTTTGGTGTTCCGACCCCTCCGCTCCTTGGCTGTCTATCTGTTTTCTCCTTCCATCGTCTCTCCTCTGCTCCATCCTTTGAACCTGGTCACTAGCCGGGAACCGCGGGCTACAGCAGATCATAAACCCAGAGGATCCCCTGGCGATCCAGGCCGATGTGCACTGGACACACATTCGTGAGAAAGAGGAGGAGGAGAGGACGGTCCCAACCTCCGAGTCCTCCACTTCTCGAGGTAACTTCCTGAGACACAAGGCCCCGGTGGGCCTCTGGCCTCCATCCCGTCCCCCTCGTGCAGGGAGGCTTGCTACTGGTGCAGAGCCAGCGGCTCGCAGGAAGTAGCAGCCCACAGAACGGTGCATTTTCCCGACACTAACCCCACCGCCTCCCGGCCCCTCCTTGAAGGATATGTAAAGTTCTTTATGGAGTAAGAGGTTTCAGTCTTTGTCCACTGGTGCAAAACAGTGATATGAACCTGACCTCGGGAAGAGTGGCGCTCCCTTCCTGTCCCCCGTGGTCCGTGGCAGGCTCTTCACCCGCTCTGCGGAGGTGCCCGCCTTCCCTATGGGCTGGGCCGGCTATGACGTGCGTGCCGGGCAGGGGAGCGGGTGTATTTGGCAGTGAGCTCGGAAGAGATGTGTGTGAGGCAGGCGCTCAAGTCGCTGTGTCATTTTCAGCTGTGGGTTGCGGTTGGGGTCTGTGCGCCCCGTCAGGTGAAAATGTGCCTCGTGCTGGCTTGTTTTCAGGAACGGCAGGAAAGACGGAGGAGTCTGCTGGGGGCTGCGTGTTCTCAGCTCCCCATCTTCCAAAGGTGCCCTGCTGGGGTCGGCACCCGCTCCCTCCTGCTCCCTGGCCTCGCGTATTCCTGGGGCAATTGTGACCCCACAGTTTATAAAGGTGTTTAGAGAATGGTGCTTCCTGTCCCAGAGGAGACGCAGCCTTTCATGGGACATTTCTTCCTTGCAGCCCCAGATCTCCTCTGATGGCTTTTGCAGCACCGTAGCCGCTGTGCAGAGGGCGATGAGAGACGCCTGCACCGGGACAGCGCTGCCGCCCTCCCTGGGGTCCTCTCCTCTCTCCCCCCAGAGGACCCGCCTCAGAGGCTCACCTTGTTGGTGCCAGACAGGCCCGTGCTTTTGTCACATCATCTCAGTCTCTCTTTTAGGACCAGCTCGGCCCTCCCTGGGACCGCTGACTGCTGTGTAACCTTGTATTTATCATCTGTTTTGAATTCAGCGCCCGACCTCCCCTCCGTACGCCGCGCGGCAGTGCAGGCCTGGCTGGAGATGGTCTCCGGAGGTAGTCTGGTGATGTTGGCTCCCCCCACTCACAGTAACCTCTCTTTCTAGGTGGCTCTGCTGGTGCCTTAACACTCGAAGCCGGGCCCTGCGGCAGGTGCATGCGAGGGCGGAGCCAGAGGCGGGTGGGCACTGCATGCCTCACCCGGCAGCCTCCCTGCATGGGCCAGAAGTGCCTCCCACTGCCCAGGGCCACAGAGAAGGACGGAGACAGCCTTCTTCCTATTCCTGTTCAGAAAGGTCGGGGTAGAGGCTGAAGGAACCTTTTCGCACAGATTTAAAGTCTAGAAATTAAGTGGGGTGGTGGTTCGTGTGAAAACAAGAAGCATCAGACAGAGCAACCAAAGTATCCTGGAAGGAAATAGGCAGAACTCAGGGAGGTGTGATGGGAAGGAGCCAGAGGAGAGGGCAGGGCGGGGCTCAGCACTGGCGCACGCGTGCAGCCGGTCAGCTGGGCCTCCGGACGGAGGCGTCCCTGTAAGCACTTACACCAGAGGCGATCCAGAAACCTTAGTTGTCTTAGACTTTTCTGGAATCGTGTCCCTCCGTGAAGGGCGGCTGGCATTTTGGGCAGATGGTGGTTCCCGCCGGGATGTTCAGTGTCCTTGGCCTCTGCCCTCTCAGCACAGTGCCCGTGTCCACCCCAGTCACAGTGACAGCCAGAGACCCTGTGCATCCCCAGGCTCTGCCTGAAGAAGGGTGGCCTTGCCTCCTGGCTGGGAACCGGCTTCCTCGCTTTGTGGGCCTTTACCACAGGCCGCTCCCAGCCAGCCTGCTGCCCGTAGCAGTGACAGGAGAAACACAGGCCACAGGAGGGGGCGTGCCCTGGTGTCGGGTTGAGCCGGCCATCAGCCCCAGGACAACAACCGCTGGGACCTAGTTAGTGTGCACTGCAGGGGCTGGGAGAGGCCGAGGCAAGGACTTCCTGGCCTCTGGGGTAAAGATCTCCTCCGGGCTTTCGTCGCGTGTGGCCGCTTCTAGCGCTCTGCGCTCCGTCCTAACCTGGATTCCGTCCCCCAGCCCATCGCTCAGGCTGCCGTCTCCCTCGGCATCTGCTGCTGCTGCTGCTGCTGCTGCATCGATAGTTCTTCTGCTTGTTTTTCGAAATGTGTGATAATCATTCTTTTCAAGGTCCCTGAGGAATGTCCCCCCGACACACACGTCCCTCTAACTCTACAGCAGACGTTTCTTAGAAGCTCCAAACGGGAGAACCTGTGAAGGACCGAGGGCCCCACAGGGACAGGCTGACCCAGGGGCAGGCTGGGGAGTCTCGGGAGGGGGCTCTTGAGGTTCACTCGCCCGAAAGAGTGTGAGGTGACCGCCTCCGCCAGGCACCCTCCAGTTCATCCATGAAAACATGTCAGGCGCAGAGCCTTGAGTCCAGACGAGGAACTTGACCTACCCGAACCCCCAGGTCTTTTGTGCACAGACGTAGTGTAGTGCAGTGATGAGCTTGCTGTCCACGCGCAAAGCTCAAGTTGATGAGCGATCCGTGGAAGACTGCTGCTTTGTGTTTGACCTACTCAGAAGTCCTGCCCCGGGGTGCTTGGTGAACTGTCTTCCATGAGTGGCCAAAAGCAGCATGGTCACTCAAAGGCTTTAACCTATGGAAATGGCTTCATGTGGTGGCGCGCACCTGTAATCCCAGCACTTGGGAGGCTGAGGCAGGAGGGTTGCTGCTAGTTTGAGGCCAGCCTGGGATACATAGTTCAAGCTAGCCTGAACCACATAGTGAAACCCTGTCTCAAAAAGACAAAAAAAAAAAAAAAAACCTGTGGAAATAACTGAGTGGTCTGCCAACATATTTCCCCAGCAAATGCTGTTAATATAGGAGACAAGTGTGGCATTAATCATTCACCAACCCAGAATGTAGCTTGAAGCACACCCATCTATCCCTGAACCTTAGACTATCTGATATCCCACACTGTCTTACATAGTCCTCCAGAAACTAGATTTGAACCAGCATTTTATATGCTGGACACAAAAGGTGAGTATATAGTTCAAGATTATTTTTAGGTTTTTGTTGTTTTGAGACAGCGGCTTGCTGTGTAGTTTAGGCTGGCCTTGAGCTCACTGTGTAGCCCCAGCTGATCTGGAACTTGCAGCAGTCCTCCTGCCTCAGCCTCCGAAGTGCTGGGATTACAGGCGAGCGCCACCACGCCCAGTTTAAGGAATGTTAAGGAAACAAAACCTTGTGTAACTACCGTCTAGGTTAGAAGATACGGCCAGCAGCTGGGAGGTGCCCTTCCTAGGCACAGTCTTCCCCTAGCTCCTCCCCAAGGGGAGCTCCTCTGTGAGCTTCATCATAGTCTGGCCTCAGAGGGCCCCTGCACCAGCACCCCCACGCTGTGCCCAGAGGTGCTGGAGGCGGTGGCGAGGCTGGGCTGCAGAGAAGATGCTCTTCCACTTTCAGCACAGCTTTCTAAGAGACTCATCTGGAGTCTAACACTCCCGTGTCTTAGGCATGTAATCAGTTTTACCTTTTTTTTTTCCTTGTTTGAAAAGTGAAAGAGGGCCGGGGATCTAGCTCAGCGGCACAAGCGCCTGCCTGGCAAGTGCAAGGTCCTGAGTTCGATTCCCGGTACAAAAAAAAAAAAAGTGAAAGAAAGAAAGAGGGAGTGGGGCTGTGGCCCAGTAGAGGGCTCTTCCCTGGCACATGTGAGGCCCTGGGTTCCACCCCCAGCATTGTTAGGGGGAAGACAGCGCACAAACGAGAGAGGAAGGAAAGACAGACAGACAGACAGACTGGCTTCAGCCAGTTCCTCCATGCCCAACCCTGCCTCCGCCTCGGGCCTCGGAACCTGTTTCCTGAAATGAAGCTGTGGGAGAAGCTGGAGGGTGGCTGTGCCTGGAACTCAGGCAGCCGCGGGAGCACCGGCAGCTAGGCGCTGTCGTCTCTGCTTTGCCGCACAAGGCTCTCAGTAGCACAGGCGGGACATCAGGCAGGCGTGTGCCTGGCCTCATTTGGCAGCCCTGGAAGACTCCTCTTGAGTCCAGAAAAGGAACTTTACATATCCCCTCCGTGCCCAGACCCACGTGCTCTGACAAAGCATTTCTCCATGTTCCCAAGAAAAGCCTCTGCCCGCGATGGCAGGGTGGCCCCGGTCCTGCGGGCCGTCCACCAGTGCGACGCAGGTTAAGCAGTGCGGGTCATCCAAGCGGTCTGGGCCTGTGTGCTCCCTGAGGGCTGGGCCGTAGAACTGCGTCATTATGAGACCAGATGACCCAGGAAGGCCTGTGAAGGGGGCAGCTGGGTGCCTGCTGGGCCTGGCCTGGCCTGGCCTGGGCGGAAGCACTCCTGCTGACCATCGCAGACTTGAGGCCCTTCTAGTAAGCAGTCCCTAGGAGAAGACGGGGTGCGTCTCCTCCAGGTGCCCTGCCCCCTCTGCAGCCCGCTCCAATGGAGAAGGCCCTGGGCCCTTCTCAGCCCCCACACTGCTTCCGGAGCACCCCCAAGCCCATCCCAGTGCCTCTCGCATGACCGCAGATGGTCTGTCTGTCTGTCTGTCTGTCTGCTTTTTTCTTCTTCTCCTTGACTATCTCTGCTTTACAGTTCCATTGGATGAAGACGACCTGGAGGAAGAAGAGGACTCGGAACCAGCTGAAATAGAAGGGGAGGCAGCAGAGGATGGGGACCCAGGGGACACTGGTGCTGAGCTGGATGATGGTACGGGGCTCTGACCACCCCACCCCACCACCTGGGTGACCTCCTCTTTTCCCTACGGGGACAAGGCCACGGTGCTTAGAACCCAGGAAAAATCAGAACAATCTACTTTAAAGCAAAAGCTCAGGCGAAGCACGTTAGTCCTGGGAGTTACTCTTCTTCTGCCCATGAACAAGTTTCATTTTCCCCTCAAAACCACCGCTTGGTGTGTCCTGCAGGTGTCGGGCTGTGGTTGAAAGCTCAGCAAGTCTCAGGCTTTTTGTAGGGTCTTGAATCCAATAGGTGACTCTGACAGCAAGAGACAAAGACGTTTGAAGAGTTACTGTCTTTGTGGGGGAGTTGAGACAGGGTTTCGCTTTGCAGTTCAGGCTGGCCTGGAGCTCACTTTGTAGCCCAGGCTGCTCTCGAACTCGCAACAATCCTCCTGCCTCAGCCTCCTGAGTGCTGGGATTACAGGCGTGTACCGCCACGCCCGGCTTAAGAATTACAGTCTTGATGGTGGGCAAAGAAAGGCATGAGCTAGGCTGGATGAAAACAAGAACAAACATCGAGGTGGCGCGGTGAGGGGGTGCAGGCCTCAGCTGTGGGGTGCAGCTCAAGGTTGTGCTTTGGCAAAGGAGAGCAGAGAGGAGTGGGCAGCAGGCCTGTCCTCCGCAGGCAGTTGTCATGCTCCCCATACTTAGAAAGTAAACAGAGCACCCCAGGCCATGGGAGACCCCCGTGCTACAGAGGCCAGTGCTTTTTGTGTCAAGAAAGGGCTTTCGCTGGGTGGCTCCGGAGCCGGGGTGGACCAGCAGGCAGGGTCTGTCACCAGGTATGGGGCAGGGCTTGCCAGGACCCCAGGACCTGATCTCGCCCTCGAGCACCGGCGCTGCGTCCATTGATCACTCTCTGAAGAAAGAAGAAGCAGGCGGAGCACGGCCCGGCTTACACTGCGCACCACGTGTCCCCTGCCCCCACCAGATCAGCACTGGTCTGACGACATCCCGTCGGACGCCGAGACGGAGCTGCGGCTGCGGCGCCAGGCTGAAGTGGAGGCAGAGCTCGAGCTGAGGGTCTCGGAAAACGAGGAGGAGGAGCCACCTGCCCTACCGAAGCGGCAGGAGCGAGGTGGGCCCCTGCTGCTGGTGGCGGACACAGCTTCCAGAAGGTTCCGCCGTCCCTCTCCCACCTGCCCCGGGCTGCTGCAGGCGGCTTTATCCAGCAGTTTCTTTCCTTCTGTCCTTCAGGCCCACACCACAGGATTCTGACGGTGCCAGCTCCCTTCCAGGGGCTCCCTCACTGCTGAGGACAGTTCCCTAGAGCAGAGGACAGGCCCAGGGATGCCACCTGAGTGGGCTCAGTGGACCCGCTGCTGCTCCCCTCCCGCCACGGCATAGGCTGGCTACTGCGTGACGCCCTCCGGGAGCTGGCTGGCACCCTGGGCCCAGAGCCGGGCGCTGCTTTCCTGTTGTGATCCCTGTGTTCTTCTTCTCAGGTCCCTCCCAGGCCTCCAGCCCCATCCGGACCCCTCAGGAGCAAGCTGTTCTCTTCACCCCGGCCCACAGCCCCGTGGCAGAGGTGAGGGCTGGGCGCTCACTGCGGGGAAGAGACACTGGCGGGCCCCCGAGAAGGCATGGGAACTCCTACCTCAGGGACCGGGCGTGAGCCCCGGGAAAACTGAAGGTTAGGTAGTCCCCTGGACTTACCCTGAGGAAAACTAAACCTTTGTTCACTTCTTGTGCTACTTGGAGCGGCAGTAGGGTCTGGGGGTTCTACCTTAGTTCTCACAGATAGTCAAATTTATTTTTAAACTGAAGCAATAATATTCATAGAATTGGGTTTATTATGGCAGAAACATTTTTCTTAATGTTAAAATGACTATAAAGGCGGGCATGGTGGCGCACGCCTATAATCCCGGCATCCGGGAGGCTGAGGCAGGAGGATCGTTGTGAGTTCGAGACCAGCCTGGGCTACAGAGTGAGCTCAAGGCCAGCCTGAACTGCATAGGAAGACTCTGTGTCAAAAAGACCAAAAAAAACCCAAAAGACTATAAAGCTATTTAAGTTTAAAAATACGTCCTCAGAGTGCCCGGGTTGTGTGAAACCACATTAGAGAGTTGTGCTTCAGAACCTCCTAACTGCATCCTGCGCAGCAGATCTGGGCAGTGCCATCCCGAGGGCGGATCGGAGAGGGAGCCCTTCGTGTGAGGGACCTCAGCATAGCAAGACTCAGAGTGTCCATCTGTACAGTAGGGAAACCTTGGCTTTTGGTTTGGCTTGGGGTTTTTTGTTGCTGTTTTTGGTGTGTGTTTGTTTGAGAAAGTCCTGCTGTGTAGTCCAGACTGGCCTTGAACTTGCTTATGTAGCCCAGGCTGGCCTCAAACTCTCAGTGATCCTCCTGCCTCAGCCTCAGTGCTGGGATTACAAGGTGTGCGCCACCACGCCCGGCAAGCTTTATCTTCCTGAGACACCACAGTGGGGTGACAGGAGGATCCCTGTGCACCTTTGAGGTTCCTGAGAAAGACAGTGTGACGGGGCTGGGGATTTAGCTCAGCAGCAAAAGCGCCTGCCTGGCAAGTGCAAGGTCGTGAGTTCGGTTCCCGGTACTGGAGAAAAACCAAAAAAAAAAAAAAAAGAAAGACAGTGTGACTATGAAACAGACTGTAGTCAGTAACTGAAGTCTTCCTGGGGTGCTGGTCTCTGCGCTGGTACCTTGGGGACTGGGGCCTTGGGATTGCCGGCTGGGGCGCAAGCGAATGCATTAGTGTCCTTCAGACTGTGTTCATTTCAGCAGACAAAGAGTGTAGGTTGTGTTTGGGATGAACCGGACCCTGAAAGCTCACTCAGTTCATTTGGACTAAGTAGAGGGGTTCTGAACCTTGAACAAAGAGAGCAGAAGGTGAAGTAGGTTCTCCCGGAGCCCAGTGAGAGCTGCCAGGACAGAGAGGAAGTTATTCCAGCACACTAGGTCCTTTGAGGGCCAAAGTTCCCTCAGGGATGTTCCTGCCCGTTAGCACCCTCCTCCTCACCGTATCTCTCTCCCGTCTCTGTAGGGGGCCCAAGTGCCGCTCGCCTCTGTCACCACCAAGGTAAAATCCCCCGAGGAGCGCCTCTTCCCTGAACCTCTGCTGCCCCGGGAGAAGCCCGAAGCTGACTCCCCCGCAGATCAGAAGGCTGCACGCTCGCCCATCCGATCACAGCCAGTGGCGCTGCCGGAAGCCAGGGCGCCTACCTCACCCGTCAGCTCGCGGCTCGCGTTGCCTGCGGTCCCCTCCGCCCCCTCCGCCCAGCTCCCCATTTGCTCCCAGCCTCAGCCCTCCTCGGAGGCCACCGTCCCGTCCCCCACCGAGTCCCCCATTCGCCTCCAGCCCATTCCGGTGAAAACATCCACCCCGCTGGCTCCCCTGCCCACGAAGAGCCCAGGTGACCCCAAGGACAAGCTGGGCAGCCCTCTGGTAGTGGACGAGGCTCTGAAGCGGAGCGACCTGGTGGAGGAGTTCTGGATGAAGAGCGCCGAGATCCGCCGCAGCCTGGGGCTCACGCCTGTCCAGCGAAGCAAGGGGCCCGAGCCCAGCTTCCCCCTGCCCGCCGTGAAGCCGCTACCCCTCAAATCCTACTCGGAGAAGTCCCCTCAGGATGAGGGGCCCCGTCTCCTGAAGCTTCCGCCTGTCCCCAGGAGGCTGGGCCTGCCACAGTCGGACGCTGAGCAGCTCTCCCTCCCAACTCCCAAGTCGCCGCCGGACCGAGAGCCGCGGAGCTCCCAGGAGGAGCGCAGAGACCTGTCCAGCAGCTCCGGCCTGGGCCTCCACGGCAGCTCCTCCAACATGAAGACCTTGGGCAGCCAGAGCTTCAATACCTCGGACTCCACCATGCTCACCCCGCCTTCCAGCCCGCCCCCGCCCCCGCCCCCTGACGAGGAGCCCGCCACCCTCCGGAGGAAGCCCGAGCCCCGGGAGGCCGACCCCAAGGCCTCTGTCGTCCCTCCTCCCCCGCCCACCTCCATGCGGCCCCCTCGAGAGCCTGCCCAGCCCCCCAGGGAGGAGGTGCGCAAGTCCTTCGTGGAGAGCGTGGATGAGATCCCCTTCGCCGACGACGTGGAGGACACGTACGACGACAGGACCGAGGACTCGAGTCTGCAGGACAAGTTCTTCACGCCCCCCTCCTGCTGGTCCCACCCGGAGAGGCCGCCCCGCCCCGCCCTGGCCAAGGAGAACGGGAGGCTGCCCGCGCTGGAGGGCAGCGTCCAGCCCCAGAAAAGAGGGCTCCCCTGGGTCTCCCCAGAAGCCAAGGAGCTGGCGGAGGAGCGCATGCGAGCCCGGGAGAAGTCTGTGAAGAGCCAGGCGCTGAGAGACGCCATGGCCAAGCAGCTGAGCCGCATGCAGGAGATGGAGGTGGCCGGCGGGGCCTCCAGGTCCCGCAGGGCGCCCTCCGTGGCCTTCCAGGGCAGAGGACTCAGGTCGGAGTCTCCCCGACGGCCGGGTCTCAGAGGCTCCGAGGAGCCCACCCTGAAGCACGAAGCCACCAGCGAGGAGGTCCTGTCGCCTCCCTCGGACTCAGGGGGCCCGGATGGCTCTGTCACCTCCTCCGAGGGCTCCAGTGGGAAGAGCAAAAAGAGGTCATCCCTCTTCTCTCCCCGCAGAAACAAAAAAGAGAAGAAGTCCAAAGGGGAGGGCCGGCCCCCCGAGAAGCCCAGCCCTAGCCTCCTGGAGGAGGTGGCCGCCAAGCCCAAGTCCTTATGGAAGTCCGTGTTCTCTGGGTACAAGAAGGACAAGAAGAAGAAGGGCGACGAGAAGTCCTGCTCCAGCACGCCGTCCAGCGGTGCCACCGTGGACTCCGGCAGGCACAGGATGTCTCCCATCGTGAGAGCAGGTACGTGCGCAGCCGGGCACCTCAGGCGCAGGGCATGGGCAGCGCGTCCTCCGGTCGTTCCGTTCCCGGGAGACCCGAATGCATGTGCTGCTCCACCAGGGACTGTTCGGTGAGACGGGAGCCGAAGCACAGGTGCCCAGAGTGGAGTGCGTCTCCGTAAACCATGCTGAAGCCGGCTGGGCACGGGAGGGGAGACGAGGCAGGTGCCCGTCCTAGACTCACATTACGCTAAAGGCGGGCCCGCTTGCCAGTGGGCAGCGAGCAGTCCTGCCAGGGGCCCTGGGTAGGTCTCTGGGGGTGCCCTGTGTTGGATGTTGGCCCTGCCCCTGAGGGGACCAGGGTCAGCGCCCACGCTCACGCCTTCCCCCGTGGGAGGCAAATCGCCCAGCTGCTCAGCGGGGTGTGGACGCTGAGGCTGCTGCCCTCACGCGGCCTCTTCCCCCTCAGAGATGCAGCTCCGGCGCCAGCTGAGTTTCTCGGAGGACTCGGACCTCTCCAGCGACGACGTCCTCGAGAGGACCTCCCAGAAGTCCAGGCGCGAGGTGGGTCCCGAGGCCACAGCGGGGATTCGGAAGGGCTGGAGACGGGCGGTCTCTGGTAAAGGAGAGGACGGGGAAGGACAATCTAAAGCCAAGGGAGAGAACTGGTCTCCACATGGCAGAGTACAGCGCCCAGCCCGGGGCCCAGGGGCCAGCCACCGGGGAGGCTCGGTGCAGGCTCCTCAGCCAGTACCTGTGTGTATTTGCTTCCAGGGCAAGGGCTTTGGGTTGTGCTCCTATGAAGAAGGCCGGGGTATTCAGTGCAGAAAACCTTACCCAGGCATTAGGACGCAGCTTGGCAGTGTCTGTGCGCTCTTCTTCCCTCAGAAGTCCTCGCGTGGAGCGGCATCTGCCCGGGCCTGGTGATAGGAGATGGGTTTGTTGCACACCAGGTCCTGGAAGCAGGGACAGGCCCGCAGGCACGCAAAGGAGGTGGGACCAGGTTGCTTTTCAGGGATGGACCTGCTCCGCCCACGTGCTTGATAGATTTTTTAACTAGAGAGGACTTTTTGCTGTTCAAGAACTGGTGTAGCTGGGTGTGGTGGGATACTGGTAACCTCAGCTGTTCAAGAAGTTAGAACAAGAGAACTGCAAGTTGGAGCCCAACGTGGGCAACTTACTGAGACCCTGTCTCAAAATTTTTAAAAAAGGAAGCAGGGTATATAGCTCACTGCAGAGGCCCTGGGTTCATTCCCCTGCGGCCCCTCCCCGCAAATCCAAAAACCTGGTCCTACACCAGGTGCAGTGGCACATGCCTGTAATTCCAGCTACTTGGGAAGCTGAAGGCCAGAGGATTGCAAGTTCAAGGCCAGTCTGGGCAGCTTAGTAAGCCCCTGTCTCAAAAAATAAAGGACGGGGGACATAGCTCAGAATCCCTGGTACCGCGAAGAGCAAAAGGAAAAAAGAACTAGTTCCAGAAGTTGGTACAGTGTGGGATCTTCGCTGCTCCAGGGCCGAGAAGGTGTGGCTGCCGAGCTCTGCCGAGAAGCCAAGGTCTCCATGTGGAGAGCTGCTTAGGTGCTCATCCCGTCTTCTGGTTTCCGAGGGCCCCGGTAGCTTTGTGTAGGTACAGTGACGCTGGAGGAGTAGAGGAACTGGGGCGAGCTCTAGTGGGACATCTGCATCTCAGTGACCGTGACCGGACGGGAACTGAGGTCTGGGCGGGCCTCAGCCGCAAGGCGGTGGCGCCCTATGTGAGCTGTGCTGCCCTGGGCTTGGCCCCCTGCTGCCCATGGGGGGACTTCAGCTGCCCGCTGTCTCCCTTTGCCCCAACGTTTAGAATGAGAAACTTTCCCGGAACGTGATAACACCTTTTTGACAAAGCCTCCCTGGGCCTGGGCCTGGGCCTGAGTGTGCGCTCTCACCCACAGGCTTAACTGTCGGTCTGCAGGCCAGCCGGGGGAGACGGCGTGGTCCTGTGCCCTGCATGTGTCTGTCCATGAACATGACTTACGCAGCCTGTTCCCAGGTTCCCTGTTAATAACCCGGCGACCTGGACAAAAAGTCCGCTGCTTTCTCATCCTCTGCGTATTTGTCTTCCTGATCGGGCCAGCTCGCTCTCCAGGGTGCTAGAAACACCTGTCCTGCTCCACCCGCCTGCAGAGCCAGCCTCGCGTGTGCTGCCCCAGCCAGCACCGCGTGGTGGTCTGGAATCTGCGCACCTCCCCCAGGCTGGGTTCGGGGTGCTGCCTGTCAAGCATCCCTGCAGAGGTGTCTCGGTGCCGACCCAGCGATTGCTTCTGGATTTGCACGTGGGTCCGTAAAGGCATTCCAGCACTGGGATGGGTGCTGCCTTAGGAGGTGCTAAGGAGGTCTTCGGAGAAAGGAGAATGTGGTCCAGGCTTCCTTTTGCTTCTCAGTTGACAGTGCAGATGTTCAGACAACTCACATCATGTCTGTGGTCAGCTCTCCAGTGCTGTCTGCACAAACGACTGAAACATCCTCCAGGAGGCCGAGCAGCAGGCTGCCCACACAGGCGGTGCTGCAGCCTTTGTCTCTGTATAGCCTCCCACTGGCTGCGGCCTCTGCCGGGCCTCACTGGCTCCGGGAGTACAGGAGCTCGCTTCCCCGTCTGTGTGAAGTCACGGGCAGGTCCCACTTGTAGATTCTGAGAGACAGGGCGCCTCCGAGGCCTTGCACACAAGGTGCACCCCGCACGGACAAGGCTGCTCACTGGAGCTCATGCGAAACACGCCAAAGATGGAGAGGGGCCTGGCAGGGGCTGGCCTGGCTCCCTCCGAGGTGTGGAGGTGGTCAAGGGAGCCCAGGGCCCCTTGTGTCCGCAAGGCATGGGAGCAAAAGCAAGAAAGTGAGCCAGAACCAAGGTAGCCAAAATAGACCTTTTTGAAACAAGGAAATTTGACGGTGAATGCTGGCTGTGGTATTGTTTAAATGTATCGTTATCAAATCAACATCAAGTTCCTTGCAAGAGACGGAGGAACTGTAATTCTGTAGGAAAGTGTCTGTGTTCTTAGGAGGAAGAACATGCTGAATTTCTTAGGGACGGAAGTTCATGATGTCTACAAATGATTCAGGAACAGAAAAGGTTGTACTGAGTGTAAAGATGATACGCACCAGCCAGGTGTGGCCACTCTGCCCCCGCCCCCCAGATACATGTGCGCGCACACCCCAGTGTCCCCGGCTGCTACAGGTGCTGATGTCATTGCCATTCTTCAGGTGGTAGTGATATAGCCGTGGGGCGGGGGGAGTTGCTGACAATTGAACCCAGAGCCTTCACACTGAAGTCTATCCCCAGCCTTTTTATTTTGAAACAGGGTCTTGCTAAGTTGCCCCGGGTGGGCTCACTTGGCGATTTTCCTGCTGCAGCCTCCCCCACAGTACCGGGATCACCAGGCATGCTCCAGCACACCCAGCACTTCTCCTTCTTTACACTGGCCTGTTCTAATAATGGAATTATTTCTCTCGCTCTGTTTTATGGGAGAGAAGCAGGATTCCCTTGCTCAAGAGTTAAAGACCGCAAATCCACAATCCTGCAGCCAGTACACCTGTGACACGCGGGTTCCCACTGTGTTGGTCCCCAGGGGACGGAGGTGCAGCAAGGGCAGCGGGCCCTCCTGTGCTTCACTCTCCCTGTCCTGGGGGCTGCTGGGCTAGCGCCACCTCTCCGCCTTGCTCTCTGCTGGCCTTTTAGCCACTCGACGTGGCCGGGGAGAAGACCGGAAAGGCGGCCGGCTGACCCTGGCGATCTGCGCAGCTCACTGCAGAAGAGGTCGTTCAGCACTGGTACCTGAAATACTGTGGGCAAATAGCCGTGACTCGTGCCGCTTGAGCCCCCTTCACTGGGTATTGTCACTAGGCTGCCCCCGTCCCCGTCCCTGCTAGGAGGGAGCCTTCGGGAGAGGGGGTGAGGTGCAGGCTTGTGTCCCTCTGTGTCTCACATCAAACAGTGACCCCACTGGGTGCCGCGCCACCCCACGGAACATTCAGCGGCAGGAAGCGGGTGGATTTTCCCTGTGCTCTCGCATTAGCAGCATTGAGCTCAACACAGAGGACACAGGCAGAGACTTGGGGTGGGGAGGAGACATCTTGCTGCTTGGTGAGTAGAAAAGGCAACCCCAGATGTCTGATTCAAACCTGGGGTTCACCCTGGCTGGTAGCACCCACCTACAATCCCAGCTGCTCAGGAGGCTAAGGCATCGCAGATTCAGGGCTTTCTTTGGTAACTTAGCGAGGCCCTGTCTAAAAATAAAAATAGCCAGGCTTGGTGGCGCACACCTGTAATCCCAGCACTCAGGAGGCTGAGGCAGGAGGATCACCTTGAATTCAAGGCCAACCTGGGCTACATAGTGAGTTCAAGACCAGGCTGAACTACGGAGCGAGACCCTGTCTCAAAAAGCATACATAATAAAAATAATAAAAGGGGCTAGAGTATAACTCAGTAGCTCCGGGGTTCAATCCCCAGTACCTTAAACAAAAAACAAAGCAAAATGAGGTTCATAAAGATGAAGCTGCTAGGGCCTGTCCACTGAGGTTCCTCCTTGTGTGATCCTGTGACATTGTGGAAGAGAATGTGTTTAAGTCTCGTGTATTTGTTTTAAACTTCTAATTGATTTTTACTCCATTTCTGTGTTCTGTTTTATTTTTGAAATCATCATCATCATTACTATTCTGTTTTGTTTTCTGTTGCCATCCCCTTAAAAGTCGATTTATGTACCACACGCCTTGGCGTTCAGGAGACCCCACTCATCAAAGGTAGTGTCCCGCCCCGCCGCCGGCTGGTCCTCGTTGCATGCCTGTCTGTGATTAACCCCCAGAGCAGCCAGTCCTCACTAACTGTCCGGATGTGCATGCAGCTGTAGCCACCAGACTTTCTTTAGCTGCGTCCTGAGGGACAAGAAGATGAGACACCTACTCTTCACTGGCTGGAGTGCATGTGGTCATTTTGCTCCGGCGCCTGGGTTGGGGGCAGAGACGCCCCTGCGGGTCTGGGCACCCCAGCGAGGGTCGTGCACCTCAGCGCTGGGTCTGAGGTGAGCCGCTGGGGCACTGAATGCGGCGACAGCCCTGCCTACTGCCTGTTCACTTGATCCATCTGACGTCTCAGTCGGCATGATGAGTCCAGACCCCTGAGCTGAGTCTGAAAGTCGCCTTGCTTGTTTTTCTTACAGGCAGTGATAGGCAGATCTCAAGAAAGCAGGCTGATTTCCCACACATGGCACTTGCAGGCCCAGACAGTCCAGCAGGGGGCGCACTGGATTTGCCCAGTTCCTCCCACCTGCATTCTTGGCGGTGCTGCCCCAGTGCGTCTGGCCAGACCACTTCCTTCCTGCCTTTCTGTGGTGGCCAGTGCCTCTGCAGACCCCAGAGGCAGTCCAGGGTCGCTCCACACACACTTCCTTCTTCAGCCCGCATTGGTTAGATTGGTACTCACAGATTCAAACAGAGGCATTCTTGTTTTCTCTACCTCAGATGTTCTTAAAAGAAATTTCTGAATCTATCCTCTGTTTTTTTTTGTTTGTTTTTTGGGGGTTTTTTTGTACCGGGAATTGAACTCAGGACCTTGTGCTTGCCAGGCAGGCGCTTGTGCCCCTGAGCTATATCCCCGGCCCTGAATCCCGTCCTCTGAAGAAAGTGGTTTTGGTTTTAGTACTGGGAGTCGAACTCAAGACCTTGCACTTGCCAGGCAGGCGCTTGTGGCACTGAGCTATATCCTGAGCCCCAAAAGTGGTTTTTGAAGCCAGGCGTGGTGGCGCACACCTGTAATCCCAGCACTCGGGAGGCTGAGGCAGGAAGATTGTTGCAAGTTCGAGACCAGCCTGGGCTACAAAGTGAGCTCAAGGCCAGCCTGAACTGCATAGTGAGACCTTGTCTCAAAAAGACAAAAAAAAAAAAAAAGTGGTTTTTGATACCAAACAAGAAAATAAAATAAAAAGGTCCTGATTTTTTTTCCCTGTTTGCCTCACAAGCAGTGGGGCTTAGGCAAATATTGTACCAGTATTTTTACCCCCACTGGTGCAGGTATCCATAAACAGAGAAGTGTTCTTGATGATAGAGGACCAAAGTTCCTTTGTCATTTTAACTTCCTGACCCTCAGGCCTGTCAGCCTCCCGTCCCTGTCACCAAGAGGAAGTATCTCACCTTGGGGCCTCTAGGTACACTCTGGCATCTGGGCTCCAACAGGGACAAGTGCCCATGAAATCTCAGGCCGAGCTGCAGCTGGGGGCTCTGCACACTGTCCGGCTGCTACCAGGCACCAGCTCCCACTCAGGACAGTCCTGTCCGTGCCCCTGCCAGCCTGCCTCCCAGATGGGTCTCCAACCTGCATGTGCCTGACTAAGATCTGTTTTGATCCCTCCAGCCAAGAACCTACACAGAGGAGGAGCTCAGTGCCAAGCTGACCCGGCGTGTGCAGAAGGCGGCTCGGAGGCAGGCCAAGCAAGAGGAGCTCAAGCGGCTGCACCGAGCCCAGGTACGGTCACGGGTGGGACGCGGTGCTGGGAGGGAAGTCGGGGCTGCATCTTCCTGGGCAGGGTGGCCTCGTCCATGCCAAGGGACGGTAAAGAAGCCGAGCAGAGACACAAGAGACTTCCCTGCCACCCAGAATCACTGCTGGACGCACTGCAGAGGCCCCTCCCTTACGGGCCCGCCCTGCGTTCAGAAGGTCCCTAATCCCTGGGTCGAGAGTGGTCATCGTGAAGCCACTTAGTCCCCTGGTAAGCAGCAGTGTTCAGAGCCTGTTTCTGGCTGCCGGTCTCGGGGGGCGCCTGGACTGTGTGGGCAGAGGTCAGAGCTACTGCAGGCATCAGCCTCTCTTCCGCCTCCATCCTACACGCCTCAAGGCTTCTTTGACTCGCAGAGACAGGATTAAAAGAACCCTCTCAGAGGTGTAGCGATCTGGTTCTAGAAAGGTCTGAGGCGATAATACTTAGGTGTTTGCTGTGAGATCTTATATCCGCCAGCCTCGGAGCTGCCCCAGGGCGGGGCTGGCCCTGCTTCCCCTGCTCCGTACTCCAGGTGCTGACAGCAGCAGGCTGGAATCTGCTCTGGGGCCCAGGGCAGGTGATCTGCGGGCCACACTGCAAGGAGCCTGCCGTGCACCAGAGGCTTTGGTGATGTCCTGATACGTGGTTCAGTTTTCCTCCTGAGAGCTCAAGAAAAGAGAGAAAGCCGGGCGCTTACTCTGCTCTTCCTCGGCAGATCATCCAACGGCAGCTGGAGCAGGTGGAGGAAAAGCAGAGGCAGCTGGAGGAGAGAGGGGTCGCGGTGGAGAAGGCGCTCCGGGGAGAAGCAGGTACTGTCTGCGTTCTTTGTGAGGAGGTTTGCTCTGGGGAGAGCCCGCCCTCTCCACTAGGGTAGGCGAGTTCCGCATCGCCACATCTGAGCTGAGCTCCTCCAGCCGGGTTTCCTGGGGCCCTGCGTTACTGAGGTCTGGAGTTTCCTAGTAAGCAAAGCAAAGTGCCTGTGTTGGGGGCAGCCCTGGGGCCAGGGCCTGCTGTCCGCCCATCGTACACCTTGCCACTCCCGCTAAAACGAAATCGGAGGCCCCGTCAGGTGCAGCTAGCAAGCTCTGGGCTTCCCTCTCTTTTTCCTTCCCCCCGTCATTTTCTCCAGGAGAAAATTCCTGGAACGAGGGAGATTGTGCCACAAGGAGCCATCACAGAACAGTGGCGAGCAGGTGCCCAGCCTGCTTGGCACTCCTCCTACCCGTGGCTCCTGGTTCTCTCGCCCGAGTCGCACACCCCACAGAGCCCACCCTGTCTCCTGCGGGGCGGCCTGTGTCCGCCCTCGGGGCTCACAGGGTGAGCCCAGGACCAGTGTCCACAAATGGCCAGTCGCTCGGAGCACGGGTGGGAGAGGCCAGGAGGACTGTGATGGGCCAGGAGACAGAGGAGGCAGCTTTGAGGAGGTGACGGCCATCCTGGAAAGGAGGCTGGCAGTGCAGTGCCGCTGTGCCCGCTGTTCCCAGGGACCTGCGCGTTGGGGCTCGGCAGATCCGCGCAGAGCAAGGGCGGGAGGCCTGGATCATCTTGGGCCCCAGCCCAGGGAGCCCTGCTGGGTCCAGACCTTCAGCCACGGGCCAGGCCCACCCTCGGGCACGGAGAGACTGATGCGCACTTTCTGAAGCATCCAGAGCTTCTTCCGGTCTCTGGATTAGGAGCCTCCATCTCGTTACAGAGCGTGAGGCCTGCTGCTCAGCATTCGGATCAGAGGGCTGGGATGAAGAAGGCAGAGGCCCCTTACCGTGTCCTGCTGTCACGGCAGAAGGGAAGAGGTGCTGATCCCTGGCAGGCAGGCGCTGTGTGGAGCCGGAGAGCAGCCAGCCAGGGCCAGCCGGGAGCAGGGGCAGTGGAGCCGTGTGCCCCTGCTGCCGCACTGACCGACGGGCGGGCCGCATGGCGTGTGCCTGGAGTTGCAGTGGGGCCGTCCGACGTACAGGGTGGATGTTTGTGTAACACACAGTGGGGCCAGGCGTAGAAGTAGGTCTCCTCTTCCAGGCCCTGAATATTGCAGCTTCTCGGTTGGCTCTTGGCTGACCTTCAGGGGAAGAGAAGGGCGGGGGGGCGGAGATGAGGGTGTGGATGCTTTCGACTGTGATGTTGGACTGAACACTTGAAGCCCAGGCCATCAGAGGGAATGCAAAACCCATGAACGACTTGGTATCCAGCAGGCCAGGAAGACTTGGATGTGTTGCTACAAGGCAAGTGCCAGCTCCAGTGCCAAGGGGTGGAGACCCAGTTTCCGCTAAAAGGGCCTCCAGCTCCCCAGAGAACCTGCAATGTCTTCCAGCAGCTGCAGGCTTCCTTTCCCTGCTCTGCACGCTCAGCCAGACCCCTACGGCGAGCTCACCCTCCAGGACACCCTGTGCCCAGGCCGTGGGCCTGCTCTGCTTGCTTCTCTCTTCTTGCAGAGAATGACAGGAGGAAACCTAAATCCATCGCCATTGCTTCTTAACCCTTCCGCACAAATGACTTCTCCCACAATAGGCCTTGCAGCCCACGGAACAGCTAACCCACAGTGAGTTGGAGTTCCCCTGAAGAGGAGCGCTGCGCCCCTCCCTGTCCGCAACCTTCTGAGGTGCGGGAGTTGCCGTGGGGTTCCTGGCTTCTATAACGTACCTGGGTGCTCATCAGCTGCCATGAAACGGGAGTTTGCAGTAATACTTCAGCACGTCCATAAGAAGCATGTTATTTCCATTGCCACCAACAGGTTGGGAAACAGCGTTGCTAAAAATTGGCAGGGGCCAGGGATATGGCTCAGCGGCACAAGCGCCTGCCTGGCAAGCGCAAGATCCTGAGTTCGATTCCCGGTACCAAAAAAATAGGCAGAGGAGGGCTGTGAGTGTAGCTCACAGCGCATTTGGCCCAGCATGTGCAAGACCCTGGGTTCCAGCCCCGGTGCTGCATTTTAACCAAAGTTCTTGTTGTTGAGTTAATTACATTTGCATAAATATATACAACCTTAGGAAGTCAGTGGTTTTCAGACTTCTTTTAGTAGCAGAGTCCTTTTCATAAGATTTTAAATTCAGTGAAAAAGAATGACTCTCAAATATTTTTTAAAACCACACGCACGAGCTTTAAAACACAGGTTATGGCGGGAAGCGATTGATGTCAGGTCAGCAGCCAGTTCACTGCTGGGCACAGGGCTGAGAGCAGCCTGATACACACAGGGAGTTGCCAGAAATGCCAGCAGCTCATGCTTAAAACCACCTGAAAGCTCTAGCTAGATCTGCAATTTAAATGTGATAGATGCTGGAAGCTTAAAATAAAACAGTAGCTTTTTCCCCGTGTTGGTTTTGGGGGTATTTTGCAAGAAGAATAAATAATACAGGACACATATCTTAGATATTTATAATAGTCACCCAAAGAACGATACACAAAAGAGTGCAGGAAATCTGTCCACACACTAAAACCAAGGAATCCAGCTGACGGTCTGGATCCCACAGCAATGTCCTGCATGAGTCCAGCTGAAGACCTAGAGCTCATAACAGCGCCTCCGACGAATCCACCTGGAGGGCCAGAGTGAGTCCATGACAACATCTCATGTAGGCCTGTTTCACGGATCTGTGCTGGGCAGGCCCAAAGGTCAGTGGTGGAACCTAGGAAATCTGTGCCAGCGGGATGAAGGATCTGTGCTAGCAGGCTGACCGGTCTGCACTGAAGCCAGGAAGCGACGCTCAGAAGAACCAGAGCTCCCCCTAAAGGTACCACAGCTGTTCTCAGCAACAGTGAGGTCTCAAGCTTCTCTGATGATTGAGAAGGCCGAGTTCCCATCAGGGAAGCCAACGCAGCAAGCTTCTTCAGAAGACTGAGCTGTGCACCTTCTTCCCTCCAGAGCCAGGAAGAGATGCTCAGAGTAAGGACCAGAGCTCCCCAAAAGTGAACTGAAGCCATTCTGAGTGCCAACAAGGCCCCAAGCTCCTCAGAGGATGAAAACAGCCAAGTTCATCAGGAAAGCCAGCATGACGAGCTCCTCCAAAACAACCAACAGCTCCTTACAGCTTCTACCAGCTCCCAACAGCCTCTCTCAGCTCCCGGCAGCCTCCTTCTCCTTCTCCAGTTCTGCCTCTTATGCTGCTGGCAACAGTCCCCAGGTGAACCTCCCACACCCAGCACCGCGCTTACTCAATTCCGTTGCGGGTTATAAGTTGACCACCAGTTATCAATCCACCACACCCCCAACTGACTCACTGATAAATCTAACAGTTGTTCATATTCCTTATAAAGAAGCTCCTATAGAGAATAAATCGAAAACACACAACTACGCTGTGTGTCACGACGTAAGGTGTTGTTGGCCTAGGGGACCACACTGACAGGCGCTGCTGGGAGGCCTGCACCTCCTCGGGCCACAGCTGCCCTCCCTGGCCCCTACACAGTACCACCTGAGCACTGTACTTGCAGGCCAGGATTTTTTTTATAGAGATCAGATGCACAGAGAACAAAAGGAACTTGGTCCCCAGTGCCCCATAAAAGCAGGTTTTCCTGGTGGCACAGACAAATGCGTTGGTGGCCATGTGACATGTCTTACTTAGGTTTTTTAAGAGATAAAAGTCTTTATAAATCAGGAATTCAAGGGGCTGGGGATTTAGCTCAGTGGCAAAAGTTCCTGCCTGGCAAGAGCAAGGTCGTGAGTTCGGTTCCCGGTACCGGAAAAAAACAAAATAACAACAACAAAAAAATCAGGAATTCAAGAGATCCCCTGAAAGCCTTTTGAAGACCCGTAGTGTTCCACAGAAGTTTGACAACCACTATTCTAGTGCAGCGCCTGCCTGTAGGCAAGAGAGCTGAGTTTGCTAAAGATGCATGTGGTGGCCCGTGGTAGATGCTCTGTTGGGCTATTTCCCTGTAATGCATTTGGGAAATTCTCAGGATATACTGCGTCCTCCTGTTTAAGAATTTATTTCCTAAAATTTTTTTTTTTTGAGACAAGATCTCACTAAATTGCTCTGGTGAGACACAAATTTATAATCCTCCTGCCTCAGCCTCCCCTAGTGTTGGGATTTCTTATTTCAATTACCCTCTTCAAGGCTGGTCTCACGTTGCTGTGCCGCAACTACATTCCTGCCGTCAGTCTCACTTGATGGTCTCAGGCTTCTATCACCATCTCAGGCCCAGACTTTGTCAGTCTCCAAGGGTTCAGTGTCTTTCAGAGACAAGATCCGATAGGAACTTGTCGACTAGTTACTGTGTTTATCAAAGGCTTCTGTATCTCCAGACCTTAAGGATTAGCTTCAGAGCTTTCGGCCTCAGGCAAGACCAAGGCTTAGGTGATTTCTGGTCCGGGAGTACCTGGAAGCTTGTTTTCTTTCTGATACCGTCTAATTCCAATTCAAAAGCGCTGGATCAGCTTGGAGCAGGAGCTACAAAGCCGTTGCCGGGCTGCGTTCGGTTGTGTTGTGTGTCCAGCCTTAAAGCGGAAGCCCTCGCGTGGAACCAAAGGCTGCTGTCAGGACCGGTGCTCAGAGCGTGAGGTTTGGAGAAAGGAGGACGCGGCTACTGAGTCTCCTTGTGTTTTGCACCTCTGTGTGGTTCTGGGAGACGAGGACAGCCTGCTCCAGCCCAACCCTTGGCCAAGCACAGGCACGAGAAGGCCAGAGCGTCCTCTGTGGGCAGCTGCAGAACTAAAGCCTGGGAGGGCCGGAGGCCAGATCTCTGGGAGCCTCGGGTGCATAGTTGGGCTAAGAACTCTGCACAGGTCCCAGCTCGCTTGTTGTTTTTAGGAGAGGACTGGCCACAGCCGGGACCTGCACCTCAGAAGATACAGGACTCCATCTTAAGCCCTGTTCAGCGGAGT